TTCTCTAAAGTACCCAGACTAACACATATACATTAAAACAACAATGAGATATCCCCTGCAAAATTTAAAAGAATAGAAAACGGTAAATGCTGGAGAGGATGTGGAGAGATTGGAATGCTCATACATTGCTGGTGGGACTGTAGAATTGTACAGCGCTAAGGAAATCAGTATGATGCTTCCTTCAACAAATGCAAATACAAGTACCAGATGATCCAGCAATCTCTCTACTCGGTATTTGGCCTAACGAAACAAATAGCAAAATACAAACAAACATATGCACACCTATGTTTATTTCAGTAATTTCTGTCATAGAAAAAAGCTGGAAGTAATAAAAAAAAAAACTCTGACTAAAGAGAAATGGATAAACAAACTCTGGGACATTCATACAATGGAATATTATACATCTTTTAAAAAGATGAGTCTGTGAAACAACTTAAGACGTGGACAAAATTAAAGAACAACGTGCTCATCAATTATTCAATCTTATAAAGATCACTCTTCTGTGACACCATTTTATGAAGAAAAGCATCGCTTTCACTCTAAAGACTAAGACATTCAAGACTACGACTAGCAGGGTGAGGGTGGAGAGGGAAGGGACAGGAAAAATGGGGGAAGGCAGAGAGCCAAAATGAGAGCCATGTACAGGGAGTTTAATGGGACACTGCCACTGAGTTGATGAGATGGGTTGTGTAACTACATGGAAGATATTTTTCAAAGTGAGTTAATAAATAAATAGTATGTATTTCTTTGTATGTATTATATTCTACAAAGAGAAATATAGAGATACGTACATTTACATATATACATAAAATTTTAAAAGTAAATGAATTTAAAGAGAGAAAGAAATCTCCCAAATTCTTCACCCATCAGATCTAAACATTGGTCTGAGTGGCTATGATAGGAAGAAATCTAAAATTGGAATGGAATTGGAGTAAATTGGTTTTTTAAAAAACGACCCAAAATGTTGGCCTTCAGGACAAGGATTTATGATGTCAATCTGTCTTATCACTAGTGACATTTACCTGGATCACTTAATTATCTACAGAGTTTTCCCTTGTCAATGTACTGTCTTACCCTTTATAGTAGACAGGTCTCTTGAGGGTACTATTTCCAGATTATGCAAAAAAGCTTTTTATTAAACCTTGGCCCACTTATGATAACATCCATGGGAGGGTATGGCTAACGCCACACAAATTAATTACTGTGTGATTAATAATCATCCCTGATTCCCATCTTCCCATCTACACAGGCTGGACCAACTGTGGCCACCAGGGGATCCTTCAGATTAGTTCTGTTTATCTTTCAATCAGTCTCCATCTTTCCCCAGCCCCCGCCAGCATTTCTACTCTTCAGAGGTTTCCTTGAGTGGAGTAAATGGCTAGGCGCATGAAAATTAACCAAAAGATTGGTGCTTCCAACTCAATCAGAGACAACGTGGAAGAAAGGGCTGGCAGTCTGCTTTTGAAGTCTTAGTCCTGACAATTCTACGGAATGCAGTTCTACTCTGACACACAGGGGACTGCCATGAACCAGAATGAACTAGGTGGCAACTGGAAAACATTTTGTGGCACCGGAGGATGTTTTGGACTCATCCTGTATTTTCCCACTCCAAGTCCTAGAATCAGCAACTACCCCTCCCTCCCACCCTCACCCACAAACACCAAGCACTCTGACTGTCTGTATTGGAGAATAGTGCGTAGAACCCAAAGGTGCCCTTGCTACTTGGGTGCCAGTACTTGCTCCTGGACTTCCCCAGTTAAAAGAGCCAGTGTATGTATATGTGCTAACCCACACATATACACACTCAGATCCGTTTCTGTATCCATACAATTGGACACATATTGAAAAGCAACAGCTCATATGAACATCTCTAATCTAAGATCACAAGATTTATTCTAGTCCTATTGTGACCTCCTTTTCCACAAGAGAACAATGGATGTCATTACCTACAGTGCTCTTACTTTTCTAATTCCAATATTCCCAAATTCGTCTCAAAATTGGCAAACAATATCGCCACGAATAACGCTATCACTAGATTATATCCTTTACAAACAGATATTTGAGGGTTTTATCCGTATGGTATCCAGACAAGATATCATCTTCCACAGTTACTTGGGTTAATTCTTACCTTCCTCAGCCCTTTCAGGGTTCTTATGCAAATTTCATAAATTTAATAAGGTTCAGTTCACTTGTTAGTACTTGTATTCCATTGTAGGTTGCATCATCCCTCTTGATTTTATTTGGGGAGTATGTGAAATAGTCCTAGAGTTGTAAGAGTCAGAATTATAGCCCCCCAAAAGTATACTTAGAAAAATATCACTTCTTCCTCATCCATGTGTTTCTCTCCGTCCCCTTGTCATCCACTCCCACTGAGAACTAACATTTCTAATTTTCAAAGACATATCCTTCTGACATATTTGTCTTGCAGAAATCAGCTGAAACTTCAGTGTGTATTAGTCATTTGCATTCTGCTTTTTCACTTAAATATATGAACTAGAATTTATACCAAATTAGTTCATAGAGGTCTTCCTTATCGTTTCATCCCGGCATGTTAATCCGTTGTGTTGATATCCCATTGCTTATTCACATATATATAATATACATTATATATATAAAATGTTTAGGTTGTTTCTAATACTTTGACATTCCAACTGGTGTTGCACCGAATAAAGGCAGGCATGCAATCCACAGGTTTGATTGTTGATTGAGTTGAGTAAAAACAACAACAATTTCTAAGGTAAGAGCCTTCACAAAGGTTTCCCACACATTCTCAATGCCCAAAACCAAGCTAGAGTCTCCATGCAAATGACTCGTGAAGACAAAGTCTGTCCCAGCAGATGGAGGGCTGCAGGTAGTCGGCACGATGGCCACATTTCTAGAACATAGCTCCTGTGAGGAAGATGCAGAAGGGATGATTTGTCACGTACCAAACTCCTCGCTCCCAATCTTTAGCTGCAGTAAAGCAATTACAGTAAAAGCATATCAAAATAGCAAGGTCCAGACTTCAAGGACGGGAACCCGAACTGCAGAGCAGAAAGAGCTAAGTATCATGCTTCCTTTCCGTTTTTCTATGAATCACATTGTTCCTCTTCTCACAAGCGCTAGGCATCTAAAATGGAAATCAACCCATGTTGGCCACCCCCACCCACCAATTTTCCATCCCTTGTGGTTCTGTAGAAATTTCAAGAAAAGTCAATCATGGAAAACTATCTTCTTCTTCTTCCTTTTTAATCATTTTATTAGGGGCTCATACAACGCTCATCACAATCCATACATACATCAATTGTGCCAAGCACATGTGTACATTCATTGCTCTCATCATTCTCAAAACATTTGCTCTCCACTTAAGCCCCGGCATTAGGTCCTCATTTTTCCCCTCCCTCCCCGCTTCCCACTCCCTCATGAGCCCTTGATAGTTTATAAATTATTATTTTGTCCTATCTTGCCCTGTCCGACGTCTCCCTTCACCCACTTTTCTGTTGTCCGTCCCCCAGGGAGGAGGTCACATATAGTTCTTTGTAATCGGTTCCCTCTTTCCTACCCACTTTCCCTCTACCCTCCCAATATCACCACTCACACCACTGGTCCTGTAGGGATCATCCACCCTGGGTTCCCTGTATTTCCAGGAAAACTATATTCTTAACTTATTAAAGAATAACATATTAGAGAGTACAACTACAAAAGCCCAAGTCAAGAAACTGCATGAAGAAGAACACTTCTCACTCTTGCATATGAACCTGCACAGTAAGAAACCCAGTTCACATGTTGTTTCAAAGGTACATGAGTGCTCTCTGGGTCAGGAGGAAAACAAACCCAAATAATTGTCATCGAGTCGAATGGGACTCCCAGTGACCCTATAGGACAGAGTAGACCTGCCCCTGTGGGTTTTTGACTCTAAATCTTTAGAGGAACGGAAAACCTCATCTTTTTCCCCACAGCGCAGCTGCTGACTTTGAACTACTGATGTGGATGGAGGCTAACAGTCAAACAGCATAAACCATCATGTCACCAAACTCACCAAGAGTGTTCGAGTCCATTCCAAACTCCACTTACTGCTATCAATTCTGACTCACCGGGTCCCTAAAGGACAGGGTAGGGCTGCCTTGATGGGCATCAGAAATTGTAACTCTTTATGGGAGCAGAAAGCCGTCTTTCTCATGCTGAGCAGCTGGTGGTATCAAATTCCTGACATTGCAGTTAGCTACCCAATGCCTATCCATGACACCAAGGTCCTACATAGGGTTTGCAAGGCTGTAAATCTGCTAGAGCAGTGAGCTTCATCTTTCTTCTGCAGAGGTTAGTGGTCTCGAACTGCCAACATCACAGTTAGAAGTCCAGCCAGTGCTTATCTGACAGCGCTCAAAACACAAAACTGAAAAAACACCTTACTTGACATAGAGTCCATTTGGACTCATGGCAATCTTATGAAAAAGCTTACGTCTTAATGCTTAAAACCCATTGAACATTTCCCTCACTTTTACCCCAAATTCAGCACATATTTAAACAATACCGTTCTGAAACATTTCATTAATGTTGTATCAAAGATCTGCACTCTTATTTTTGCTAGCGGGAGCAATGGAATTAAACATTAAGCTAATATTCAATGCCTTGTCACTTTCAAACTAGTATCTTTTTTTTACAAAACATTGAGCAAGATTGTATCTTGTCTCTCCTGACAAGTCTGTACTGTGTTTATTTTGTTTTGAGATGAATTCCTTTAGTTGTTTCTTCATGGCAAACCTGTGCTCATTGGGTGAGCATACACCTAAACAAAGCCCCTCTTTCAGAGACCTTGCAAAGGATTTCTCTAGAAGGTCGTGACATACCTGGATAACCCATGAAAGCTATGTTTCTGAAATGGAAATTGCTATTCAGTGCCTACATGTTACCTCGTTTCTTTTTTATTGAGCTCTGAGAAATCCGGTGCGAGGACCTTCATGGAGTTTGAAATCAAAACTGGAGTGGTGTGTCCTTTGTTCCTATTCAGTAATAACGGGGACTTGGTATTTCTAATAAAGAGGATCGGTGTGTCCTAATTCGCACTTCACATCCACTTTCTGGGATGATCTTTGCTGGAATTCCAGCTCTAACTGCAAGCTGGTTCTGCGTCCCATGCGCTAAGAACTCAGGAAGGCTGAAGACAGATTCTTCCAAACAAAGTGCACCGTCGCTGCGTCATAATGGAAAATTAAATATTTTTCATCTCTGTACCCTGGTTGTGTTTTAGCCTCCCCTTCCTTCCCAAATATCCTGATTTCAAGATATCTCAACCCATGGAGCCTTGTCCACAGAGAGGCAACAGCCCCGCCCTCAACCCTTGGGAGCAGTAATGCAAAGAATTATCCTAAGGAATTGCTTTAAAAAATAGGTGAAGCCAATAAAATCACACCACAGCTGCATAGATTGATATCACAGGGGTCCAGAAGTTAACCTCAAATGGGCAATAATTTGTTTGGGATAACACTAAACCAGTTTGATGAACTCAAATGCCCCCGGCTCAATAGGCAGGACTCTCTGAGGAGCCTGTGTTACTTCCCTCACTTAAGTGCAGATTTGTAATAAAAATCGTAAAGCTAGTGACATCTTTTTTGCACATGTAAGAAACTAACCACTTGGAGAATCATACTTGAGTGGTCAGAAAACTCCACGGTTGAAGATCGGTTTATAATTTACAAAGAAAATAGAAAGTTTTGTTCCTCAGAGTTGAAATTTGCAGAGCACGGCAGGAAATATTGCTGGTTTTTGGCATAAAGTCTTGCGTTTGGCGCACAACCTGAAACCCTCTTGAAGCCTGAGGCTTTGGGGATCATTTGGGGAGAAAAACCGGGCAATTCGGAGTAGGGAATTTTTATATTTGGGGGCTTTTTTGAAGTGTAACAAACACAACTCCGGATCGGAGGGGACACTCTGCGGCTGCCAGTGAGGCGGGCTGGACAGCGCACCAATCACGGCGCAGCTCCGCCCTATATAAACCGGCGGGCGCAGTGACGAGGCCCGAGTCCCGGCCAGTGCCTCTGCTTGCGGTTCGAGTTGCGCTTTCCCAAACCGGCCCGCACCATGTCCGAGACTGCGCCCGCCGCCCCTGCCGCTCCGGCCCCAGCCGAGAAGACGCCGGTCAAGAAGAAGGCCCGTAAGTCTGCAGGTGCCGCCAAGCGCAAGGCATCCGGCCCCCCGGTGTCCGAGCTCATCACCCGGGCAGTGGGTGCCTCCAAGGAGCGCAGCGGCGTGTCCCTGGCCGCGCTCAAGAAGGCGCTGGCGGCCGCCGGCTACGACGTGGAGAAGAACAACAGCCGCATCAAGCTGGGCCTCAAGAGCCTGGTGAACAAGGGCATCCTGGTGCAGACCAAGGGCACCGGCGCCTCGGGCTCCTTCAAGCTCAACAAGAAGGCCGGCTCCGGGGAAGTCAAGCCCAAAGCCAAGAAGACAGGCGCGGCCAAGGCCAAGAAGCCTGCGGGCGCAAAGAAGGCCAAGAAGGCGGCCGGGACAGCCACCCCGAAAAAGAGCGCCAAGAAGACCCCCAAGAAAGCAAAGAAGCCAGCTGCGGCTGCGGGAGCCAAAAAAGCCAAAAGCCCCAAAAAGGCTAAGGCAGCCAGGCCCAAGAAGGTGCCCAAGAGTCCAGCCAAGGCCAAAGCGGTAAAACCTAAGGCGGCTAAGCCAAAGACCGCCAAGCCCAAGGCAGCTAAGCCAAAGAAGGCAGCAGCCAAGAAGAAATAGAAAGTCGCTTTGGCCAATTGTTACAGGCTTCCTAACAACCCAAAGGCTCTTTTCAGAGCCACCCACATATCTCAGCAAAAAGAGCTGTCGCACACGGTGGCGGGTGGGACTAACGATACTCTTAATACTTTCAGGTTGGGGGAGGTGGGATCATTTACGAGAACTCGTACATGGTCATTGAGAATGGCCTAGACCGGTCTGAAAACAACGCTGGCTCATTGGCACCAGGAAAAGGTGTTGCAGCGATACGATGCGGAGCAAATTCTCCAGTGCCAACCGCCTGGAGAACTAGAGGTGGGGAGATAGCCTGGGTCAAGTGTTCAAAGTACAAGAGATTAAGCCAGCATGGCTTTCCAAGTTAATGAGCTGGCAAAGAAGAGTCAACTTTCGTTGTCACGCACTTTACCGCGAGCTCCCCACCACAGCGGACACGCTGACAGCCGGCTGCAAGAGCTGGGCGGGCCGTGTTGTCACCAGGTGCTCTGCGCCGGCCCAATCCTCGGAGCCCTCCCTGGAGCCCGGCAACTGCCTCCGCCCACAAGCGGAAAGCACGCAGTTTAACTGCTTGCTGCCCGAGGACGCTCTGGCGCTTGGAGAGGCCCCTTTTTGAGTAGGCCACGGTAGGCTTTTCGATTGGGTTAAACCAAGCTAATGAAATAACCAATGAAATTAGACCTGACAGTGTATTCCTTACCATCGTGCTTGTGACGACATACTACGAATACCCAATCATAAGCGCGGTTTTAGTATCATCATTTGAATACTGAATCTATAAATTGAGGCGACCTGACACTGCTTTCTTTTCCTTCCTCTGAGTTTAACGCTTCGCCATGCCTGAGCCATCCAAGTCTGCGCCAGCCCCGAAGAAGGGCTCCAAGAAGGCGGTGACCAAGGTGCAGAAGAAGGACGGCAAGAAGCGCAAGCGCAGCCGCAAGGAGAGCTACTCGGTGTACGTGTACAAGGTGCTGAAGCAGGTCCACCCCGACACGGGCATCTCGTCCAAGGCCATGGGCATCATGAACTCGTTCGTCAACGACATCTTCGAGCGCATCGCCGGCGAGGCGTCCC